AGTTGTGACTGCTGTGGCACATATTTTAAATCCCTCTTTTTTTCTCCAAGCTCACGAGTGTGATACAGACAGGTTTAACATTTTAAAGTAAGCAGTGTTGTGTTGTACACATTTAAAGTTGTGTGTTCATTTTGCAACAATTTATATCTTATGATGCTCAGTCTAAAAAAAAATGCCTCTTTCAATTCACATTATGGAATAATACTAGATTGCTGGACATGGGCACCAGCGACCCCCGTGACCCAAAATGGAATAAGCGGGTAAAGCTAATGGATGGATGGATGAAGAAGCGAGATTTGGCTCTTAAAACATCACTACGTTCAAAATGTAATACTGACTTATAGAAAGTAAAATATAAATCACATCAACTAATTGACAATGTTAAAACCAGCAATAATTCACTTTGGAAGCATTTTAATAATCTAACCAATAATTGTTTATTATGCATTAATCAAAGGTGACAGAGACAAAACTGACCAGTTTCTTGCCAAATAGTGAGCCAAATCTGTTCACTTGTATGTTTCATCTAGAGGTGTTATATTAAACATTTCACACTAAGTACCTTGTAAGCACAATGAGCATTTGTAAACCTTTTTTTAAATTATTATTTAATCCTGATGCATGCCCAATAATCCAGGTTAAAAAAAAATCTGAAAAAGTTAAGACAGGTCCTCTGGATAGGTTAAAAAACAAAAACAAAAAAAAAATGTAGGTTTTCTTCAGTCTTCTTCAGAAGAAGTTTTTCAGATGAAAGACGAAACGTTTCTACAATTTTTTGTTTTTTTAACTTGTCCAGAGGACCTGATTTAACTTTTTCAGATTTAGGATATATTATTAGTTGAAGATACTTATAATGCAGTGATAAAGTACAGCATTATATGCTAAAAAAAAATTTTTTTTAAAAAGTTTACAAATGCTTATTGTGCTTACAAGGTAGTAACTTAGTCTGAAATGTTTAATATAATAACTCTAGATGAAACATATAGGTGGAAGATTTGGTTCACTATATGGCAACAAACTGGACAGTTTTGTCTCTGTCACACTTAATTAATGCATAATAAACAATTATTGATTATTTACAAAGTGTTTATAGAGGAATTAACAATTTATCTATAAACTATTTCTTAGCATCTGTAAGGGGAGCCTTCATATTGCATGACTGGATGGGCACAGGCCTCTCCAACTGCAACCAAACACATAGGCTCTTTATACAATCGGGCTGTAAAAATGTATGGATAAAAAGCCAATCCGCTATCATCACTGATATTAAGAAATATAATCTAATGAGCTTTGATAGCTTTATTAGTTTTCGTTTTCTTAAACGGTTTCATAAATGTGTTGGGTATTTTTCCCGTCAAACCTGCAAAGAATTCACACGAGGGACGACAGAGTGAAATTGTTTTGGCCAACGCTCCTTGCAAGGAGGGAAATCCACCTCTGGTCTGAAATCAGAAGTGAACTCCAAAGCCGTGCTGTTTGAGCTGCCGTTTTATTGATAAGAGCGACACATCAGTTTTGCCTCAACGAGATAAGTGTTTGGCAGACGGTTGGAACATTCTTTGATCAGAACAAAACATCTTGTGGAATGCTAAACAGTTACAGTTGATTAGAAAAAACAGTGCAAGATACTAGTTGATACGTTTGCTTGGTTTAAGACAAGACAAACAATTCGGAGTCAAAGCAGCTTATGTAAATACAGAGAATTACTATCAGCTCGGACGTGGACTGATAGTTCCAGAAACTTCTTTGCTTTGTATGCATAGAAGTACAGAAATCATGAAACAGTTTAAAAATGATAACAAATGAAAAACTCTTACGAAATGCATCAGTCGTGTAGCACCTGAGCCATTACTTAAATTTGTTGAGAGACATCCAATAATTCTCAGTCAGATCATCTGGACAGTTTCTTTTTTTATAGAGACGTTTCGCACTCCATCCAGAGGGCTTCATCAGTCAGAGGAGTCCCGATTAAACTGTTTTCCCCACTAAGCAGTGCATTCCTTTAGTGGACCAACCAGTTTGCTGGTGATAAGAAGTGGGAATCGGAAGCAGGAAATCATTACCATTTGGTTTTAAGACCAAAACCGACATTAAAATATTCACTTCAAGGTAATTGTTTTGACTCAGTAGTCTTAAATACATTGGTTTACATTTATTTTTCATCATTTTATTGTATTTACTGTTGCTCTTAACTTTTCATTTAACCAGCAGGGACGGGTGTTGCACTGTGATGCAGGCATTAGATTGTCTTGATCTATGTTTCTTGTATCTGTCCCTATCGAATAAAAAAATAACTAAAATAAAATCAAACTACAGGGACAAGGAGTAAAATGTGTCTGAGGACGATTTAAGAGGAGCAGCTTTGGCTCAAGTCCATCTGGATTTTCCCATCGACTTATCTTGTGCATCAAATTCTTCGAAAGATTTGTTTCAACACATCATCTGCTTGTTGAGGTTTCGAACGCTCCCCATCTCGTCCAGAACGTCACCCTCGACTCTCACATCAGGTGGATTACGCAAACAAAAAGCAAATGAAGGAGTGCTTCTGGTATGTGCATGTGTAAAAATGTCCCTTTTATTGTGTAACGAAACATTTTGATACTGTGTGTTACAGTATTGCTGCGTTCAATGTGTCATCATGTCAAATAATCCCGTTTTCGTCGCTGCCTTTGAGCAAACTAGGACTTTTCTAGCTGTATTAGTCTCTATAGACTGATTGCATGTAGGGCTCACAAATGATTCTTCAGTCAATTATCTATTGTGTTCCCATCATACCACAGCTTCACACAAAACACATTAATAGAAGGAGTGTCCTCTCTTTTAACTACATTTGTAAACACGCCCCTATTTTGTGCATTAAAGCAGATTACTGAGCCCGTGTCAGTTGTTTCATGCTGTGCGCTGTAGTCATGCATGCACACGTCAAATATTCCTGTTTGCATTGTAGCCTTTGAGCAAACTCTTTATCAGACTTTTCTGGCAGCGCTTGTGATGTTCGGCTCACTACGGTAACAGACTGCGGCCTACTATCTTCATCGGACTCATCCTTTACGATACACCGACTGATAAGCGGTGCTTTTACCTGCGTTAGGCAAGTCTCCTCGGGAATGGCAGCTTTAAGCATCAAACTGTTTTATCTGCTGATGGTGATATTAGCCAGCATTTTGCTTTTAATTCTAACTCAAGCATCTTTACCACGAAATTTAAGGTAAGCGTTTTATTTGTCTACAAATATAGATAAACATCAAAACTTCCTTTTTGTTTGTTTTCACTGTGAAAGATTTTCCAGCTGATTTTTTTTCTACTGATTTATCAAATTTCTAATCCAGCTGGACAGACTTCACAGACTATACCCAGTCCAGAAGACAAGACATTAAAGTATTCTGGGAAAAACTAGGAAAGAGTAATCAAACAACCCAGAGGGGTTTGGTGACAACGACAGGACCTATGAACACGACAACCCCTGCTCCCGAGACTCCTATTCCCATCATGCTCAAGAAGTCCTTCAAGAAGCTTCCTGAGTGGGACTTTGAGGACATTTATAATCAGGATGCTCCACCTAGACCAACAGTAAGTGCTTTAAGACTTAAACTTGACAAAGATGTTTACTTTATGGGTGTTAGCCGTAGAAAGGTGTTCACTTTTATGTCTTTATTGTGGTAAATGTTCTGTTTGCTCTTCTCTCTGTAAAATCCAGATGTTTGTTTAGGCTGCTGACAGCTGAGCTTTCACTAAATCAAGTTTGCTTTTATGTCAAATGTCCCTCGTAGCTGTCTTTTTTTTGTTGTTAATTTATTGCTAAAACTTTCTCCTACCCAGACGTGCGTCCAGTCGTTGCATAACTCGAAGGACGAGGACTTCCAGAAGGCTTTCCTGCCCAACGTACGCTTGTATCTGAACAGAGACAACTTCAACATGAGCGAGTGGAACCGGCTCTCACATTTTAACAACCCGTTTGGTTTTATGCAAATGAAGCATGACGGTATGTAATTGCTTCAAAAACAGTATAAAGTGCATTGCATGTGTAATTGGAGGACGTTCTTTTGCACTCGTTAAAGCAGGGCACCAGCAAATCCTGACGAACAACGTAAGTAATGTGTTAACCACAATAATTGTGCCAATAATTGTGTTTAATAATCAGAACTCAGTCACTGAAGTGGAATCTGTTATTTACAGGGAACACATAACATTCATCCAATATGTCTTTTGAAGTTTTACTACAAAAATAATTCATCAAACTAAAAATCATCATCAACAATAAACAAAACTGAATAATTCATTTGATTAAAGTTAATAATTTGGAGAATAACTAGTTTGATTACTAAGACAAAAATAATTAATCAGTCAAGGATTAATTCTCTGTCATCCAAGGCAAAATTAACCCTTTGAGCAGACATTCTTTTGGATTTTATACGCACATAAATTTGGACAAAGTAAACTATTTCGTAAATACCATATTTTCCGCCGTACGAGTCGCTCCTGAGTATAAGTCACATCAGTCCAAAAATGTCTAATAAAGTGGGAAAAAACATAAATAAGTCACTTCGCCGTATAAGTCACATTCATTATGCGTCACTGCTGACCACACGAAATCGTGGGCCGGTGCTGTGCCAAAAATCGATTCGCTGCCAAATGGTGGCTGCGGGAGCATGCACGGGAAGGCTTTAACAAGAATTTAACAACACTTAAAAACAATTATTTGTTTGCTCGACATTATAGCAAAGGTGTGTCTCAGTTTAACGTTTCCTTAATAAATGCACTTTGATGGTCAAATCAGCTGCATTTTGCCTCGGTGGCGCAGCACCATCCATCCTCCGGAGCCGCGAGCTCTCCCGCCTTCCTCCGCCTGCACCAGCTGGAGGAAGGCTGGAGAGCTCACGGCTTCGGCCGTGTTAAGTTTTTCTCAGTTGTCTCTAAGTGAATGTTTGTGTGTTTTGGGGGGGTGGTTGGTAGTGGTAGATGTCGACAGCTTAGAGGGCACTTTTGCACCTCTAGCGGCTGAAAATGTTAATCTTTAATCTGGTGCATGTCAGAATGAATTAAAGTGTCAGTCAAAAATGGTCATGAATATGAAAAAAAACAACATAAATAAGTCACTTCGGTGTACAAATTGCAGGATTTGCAAATGTATGCAAAAAGCTGCCACTTATACGCCGGAAAATACAGTAGTTTACTTTATTTGGTTGAGCGATGTTATTGAATGTGACCAGATCAAGTCATTTGTTATCACTGCAAGCCAGGAAAATTTTTCAGAATAATGTTCTTCAACAGAAAACTGGAAAGATAAAAGTAAATATCTCATCATTTAGAGTTTATATCATCAAAATATTTCAAAGAGCAGGAGAAATTTCTTTGTGCAAAGAAGACCAAATCAATACCGGATACTGGTGGTTCTTAAGGCAGCGCTGCATTAAAAACAGGTCTGGTTCTGTTCTGGACATCACTGCACGGGTTCCACCAATCATTGTCTGTAAACACTGCTCACTGTGACACCCACAAATTCTGGTCAAAGCTCTATCGCACAACATTTTACCTATGTTAGATGCTTTAATCGACCTCAGTTTGGAGTAAAAGCAGTTCTGATGGTAATAATTCTGCCTGGGAGGCACAGGTTAAATAAGTTGAGTGAACTTGATTAACTTTTTGATATTTTTTATTTTTTCACTCCCTTTATCAAAACTGAGATCATTCAAAGAGCTACATATACAGCAGGTAAGACACTGTTTGTTCATAAGCTTTAGACAAAACCTTTCTCCAAAGGTTTTGTGCGATTACTTTAAAGGCAACAGAGGAAGTCAGAAAGTCTCTTAACTTAAATGTAAATACAACAAACATTTTTGTGATTTTTTTGCATATTTATAATTTAAATAATATATTATTCTATTCAGTTTCAACTCAACATCAGCTTTTTTTTAGAACATTTTCTCTCGGCCAAAATGGTTTATTTGAGTGATCTTCAGTAAAACAACAAATTTCAGCTCAACTTTATGAACTTAAAAAAGCTTCAGATTCAATCAATATTTTCCCAGAGTTTATCGTTGGGATAACACTTAACGAGCTGTGGCACATATTTATGCTTTATTTGAACAGCAGCCACAATAATCCATCTTTTTATTTTGTTTTGGTTGTTTGTTTGCAGAGGTGATGGCCGCAATAAAGCTGCTTCCGAAGGTTAAAGAGCCGCTGCTCCTTCCAAAACCAGGCGGCGACGGCTGCGTGCACTGCGCTGTGGTGGGAACCGGCGGCATCCTCAACGGCTCCAAAATGGGAGCAGAAATAGATGCTCATGACTACGTTTTTCGGTAATATGATTTAAGAGAGCAAACCTGTTGGTTGAGTTTGTTGTGCAGTATGATTATGAAACAAACTTCCAGTAACGAAAAGGATTTGAAAGGATCTGGTATTACAGGTCTGATAATAGCGTGACAAGAGACGGATTGTTTGCGATTCAGTTTCATATGTCACTGGATGGAAGTGGATCCAACATAAATAAAATGATGCACAGTGCATCGGTCAAACACTGCTTCATTCACCTGTAACACAATCCTTTGACTTGTTTTTTAAAGTCCACAGTCAGGAAGAGTAATATTAAACTCTATTTATGGCTAAATACAAGAATACAACATCCTTGTTATGTTGATAATCACAGTCTGTACGTTAAAACTTTATTGTCCCTGTCTCTTGTATCTTCAGACGTGGTTCAGAAACGCACGTCAGTATTCAACAAAGTTCAGTCAGGTCACCTTGATGTTTTTTTGTTTGTTTGTTTCATCCTTCATCCAAAGGACTTCATCAGTCCGAGGAGCCACAAACAAACTCAGTCCCACAAGCAGCAAACCCCCATAGTGGACCAACCAGTTTGCTGGTGATAAGATGGTTCCTGGGGCCCACCTTCTCCCCTGTCGACTCCTCTGAGGCAGCCATAGCCAAAGTGGTTCAAAACATCAAAGTTCATGCTCAATAATCCATGTAAAGAATCCAACGATGTTCAGTCAGGTCATCTGGATGGTTTCTTTTTGTTGAGACGTTTCGTCCTTCATCCAAAGGACTTCATCAGTCCAAAACATCTTTGATGTTTTGAACCACTTTGACTATAGCTGCTTCAGATAAGTCGATGGAGGAGAGGGCGGGTCCCACAAATCATTTTATCACTAGCAAACTGACTATGTGAGTGTGCTGCTTGTGGGACTGAGTTTGTTTGTGGCTCCTCGGACTGATGAAGTCCTTTGGATGAAGGACAAAATGTCTCAACAAAAAGAAACAGTCCCGATGAGCTGACTTAACTTCGATGGACTCTACCTAGATAACTAAGCATGAACTTTCATGTCAGTATTGTTTTGTTGTTGTTGTTGCTAATCTCATACCAGAAATGGTTCTCTGCCATGGCGCCACAACATAAACAAGACTGACTGTTCTTGCATTCTTTTCATACGTCTTGTAACTAAGGAAAATCCTGTTACAAGGAAACATATCTGCTGAGATTGTTTTTTTTTTAACGGTGCGATTCCTTATCACAAAATAACTTAAAAGCCCAACATTCCTTGAAGAAGTAAGCTGTTTGTGGGAATCAGTTGTGTTTGTTGCTGGCTCCTCAGATTGAAGAAGTCCTTTGGATGAAAGGTGAAACGTCTCAGCTAAAAAAAGAATGACCTGGCTGAACATTGTTGGATTTTATACCTGGATTATTGAGCATGAACTTTGGTGACTAAAGCAGGTATTAAACTGAGCAACTTGAGAACCAGAAACTGAACTCAAACCGCAATCAGTGAAATGTTGTAACATCCTTTAGAGGATGTGAGCGTTCTCGCTCCCTTCATGTTCAGGTCAATTAAAAAACTTAAAGTGACCGTCAGATGTGGGGAAGTTAGCAAAGGTATAAAATAAATACAAAGCTAATAAAATGAAGGAGTAGAAAACAGAAAATCATCTCTGGCAGGATGGTCAGAGGACTAAGGAGCATAAAGAGTCAGGTGCTTTTGGTTTTAAAATCAGGACACTCGTCATGTGAGTATTCCAGTTCCTGGTGATTACTTCTTTACAGCTCATGAGTGACTCGGTGTGGGTCATCACCCACGTATGTGGATGCTGCCCACCTGATACTGCATAAAGATGGAAGCCAGACCACATCCTGACGCTTGAGCGTTCACCTACGATGAGCCAACGCATTTTTGCATCAAGGACTTTTTTTATTCGTGTTTTTTCAGCACCTGTTAGGAAAACCTACCTTAAAACTCATCCTTAGGAAAGCAACGTATTGTAAATGACTTTAGAGGCTTAAATTCTTAAATTGTGTTACCTGTCGTTTTGTCTGTACAGCACCTTGGTTGGCTTTGTAGCTGTTTTAAGTGCTTTATAAATAAAGTGGTATGGTATAGTAATTTATGATGACAGTAATAACAGTTCTCTGAGTGGTTGAAATGTGGTTTAGGAGGAAGCATGGCAAAGAAAAATGCTGACCTTACATGAACAGAGTCATTAATCTTCTCTGTCCTGGAAACACCTTAGCCTCCTTAAAGAGGAGCTGGAGAGTGTCGTTGTGGAGAGGAATGGGTTTCCCTTTTGGATCTTCCGCCTCCACGATGGACTACGGATAAGCATTAGAAGATGGAAATTGCGAGTAAAAAGGAATACAACCATTCAATGACTCGTGTGCCTTGTTTAGTTTTCTATTCCCTTGAGTTAAGTTTTGTGCCTCCCTCTGTTTTCTAGCCACCCACTCATTTTTCCTTAGTCAGCCTCTGCTCTTCAGTCTCCTCCCACTCGCACCTGTTTCCCATAATTATTAGTCTCATAATAATAATAATAATTTTATTTAAAAAGCGCCTTTCAGGACATCCAAGGACACTTTACAGCAAGAAACATATCAGATAATAATGTGTAAAAACAAGCACAGTGCAAAGACCAACAGGAAGAAATTGAAACATAAAATACATAAAACAAAGTTAAGAAGGATAAGTGATTCCAAAGAGATGAGTTCACCGAAAGAGAGGTTGTGTTTCGTAGGTCTGGTGAGAGTTCCAGAGGTGAGGAGCAGGTGAAGACCCTGCTCCCCATGACGGATAGGCGGGCAGAGGGTACATGGAGGTGTAGCAAAGAGGAGGATCTGAGAAAGTGAGAGGGGATGGAGATGCGTAGGAGGTCAGATAGGTATGGAGGGGCAAGGTTGTGGATAGCTTTGAAAGTGAGAAGAGGAATTTTGAAGACGATGCGCAATTTAACCGGGAGCCAGTGGAGCTGCTGCAGGACAGGAGTGATGTGGTTATAGGTGGAAGTTTGAGTTATGACATGGGCAGCTGAGTTCTGGACCATCTGTAGCTTCTGAAGAGATTTGTTGGTGAGGCCGTAAAGAAGGGAGTTGCAGTAGTCAATCCGGGAAGTCACAAGACTGTGCACAAGGATGGCTGTGGAGCGGGGTGTGAGAGAAGGGTGGAGACGGTTAAGATTTTGGAGATGGAAATAGGCAGACAAAGTAACATTATTGATGTGTGAAGTGAAGGAGAGAGTGGTGTCGAGGATGACACCGAGACTTTTGACCTGAGGTGAGGGGGAAAGCAGAGAGTTGTTAAGGGGGACGAGAAGATGTTCTGATTTTGACATAGAGTTTTTGGTACCGACAAGGATGATTTCTGTTTTGTCACTGTTAAGTTGAAGGAAATTGTTAGAAAACCAGTGACTGAGCTCACTGAGACCGTCTGTGAGGATGGAGGGTGAGTGAGTGGAGTTTGGTTTGTTTGACAAGTAGAGCTGTGTGTCATCAGCATAACAGTGGAAATGGACACCAAATTTGAGGAAGATGTGACCTAGAGGAAGGAGGTAAGTGAAGAAGAGGAGGGGTCCGAGGACAGAGCCTTGGGGCACACCCGTCGAGATGGGGGAAGACTGAGAATGGAAGGAGTTAAGCTGAATGAATTGAGTGCGGTCAGAAGGATAAGACTTGAGCTAGTCTAGCAGAATACTGAGATGCAGATCTCAGATGCAGATTCGACAGATTGTGTCAAAGGCAGAACTTAGGTCAAGTAGAATGAGGATGGACAGAAGACCAGAATCAGCAACAAGAAGGTAATTAGTAATTTTTATTAGAGCTGTTTCAGTGCTTTGGTGGGGGTGAAAACCAGACTGAAACTCTTCATAAATGTTATTGCTGGATAGGTGAGAGTGAAGTTTACTGGCAACGACTTTTTCAAGAACTTTGGAAATAAAGGACAGATTAGAGATTGAAGATTACTGAAGTTGGTAGAGTCAAGACTTTTTGATGATGGGGGTAATGGCAGCAGATTTAAAAGCTGTGCGAACAATGCCAGAGGTTAGGGATGAGTGGATGATGTTAGTGATGATAGGGAGCAGAGACGGGAGACAGGATTTAACAAGAACTGTGGGAAATGGATCAAGCTAGCAGGAGGAGGACTTAGACTTGCTGATAATGTCGGAGATGTCATCAGCAGAGGGAATCTGCAGCTATTTACCTCATCAATCACAACCTTTTTATTTCCCTCAATTTTTATTCACCTTCAGTCTAGCTTTGTGTATTTTCATGTCATGTCCAGTTTGCGTTCTACCTCCTTGGGTTTTGTTAGTTTGTAGATTGCCACGTCAGCCTTTTGTTTGGATTTTTGAAGTTGTAGTTTTACTGGAGCTCCTTGTGTCCGTCTGTATTTCTGTGTCCAACCCCTAAAAACTGTGACAAACATATCAGCTCAAGTAGGATAAGTGGCCCCTTGTCTTTCTCTCATTGTCCTCAGATGATAAATATTTACGATAATTAAATTGAAAAAGTAACTTTTGTCTGTCAGAAAAACCTTTTTTTTTTTGAAGTAGGGTTTTGTGGTTTACTTACTAACAGCCAGTCTTAAACTTTACCACAGCTATACGCTGTGGTCTATATTTAACCTTTACTGACTAATAGCACTAAAGGTGAACTGCTTCATTGAAAACTTAAATTTCTGATTGTTTGTGTGACACAGGATGAACGGTGCAGTGATCAAGGGTTTTGAGGAAGACGTGGGGAACAAAACCTCTGTATATGTTCACACAGCCCATTCAATCACTGCATCCCTTATTATTTTCCGAAAATACGGATACAAAGCAGCCCCACACGACGAGGTATTAAAGCTTTGCTAACAGTGAAGGTTTTTTTCACGTTTCATTAAAAATGACTTGTTCTTCTCTGCTTTTTAACAGGGTATAAAATATGTCATCATTCCTGAGGGGCTGAGGGACTTCCAGTGGCTCCAGGCTGTTTACAAAGGAGAAAGGGTTGCTTCTGGCGAATACAAGAATCGAAAGTGAATATCAACTCCTTTTTTATGATTTAGGATACAGTTTTTGTTTAAAGGAGTCAACTTTCTGGCATTTTTTCCCGTATCAAAAGAACATTGTTCTTGTGCAATCAAAGGCTGAATCGATAAAATAGTCACTGCATAGTAAAGGTTGCGTTTTAAATGAAGTTTTGAAAATATTTTTTCAAACTGCCAAGTGTTATTTGTCCCTTTTAATGTACTGTACTTTCTTTTTGATGGGTTGTACAAATATTTGTAGAGTCTGCTTGCACACCTTTCCCTGCAGCTATAGCTGTTTTTCAAAAGCAGCTAAAGCACAATATGAACGAACAAAACCTTCTGAAATGAGATCAAAGTGCTTAATCCTCCAGGTACTATCTGGCATGCACAGTTGTAATGATTGAGGGAAGTTTGCAGCCTTGACAAGATATATTAGCCATTAATGTTTACTTATTGTTTATTAATACAAAGCCTTGACATAAAACTTGATATACTACCAAAATGCAAATTCATCATTTTAACTGCAACTAGAGAAATTGCATTTCCTGTGAAAATGCAGTGTGACTGCATATTGCTGAAGAACTCCCTGAAAAACAGCTGAAATTGGCTAAAAAAAAAAATTTTAAAAGCACGCTGAATTTTAGCTGAAATGAAAAAATTTGCCTTAATTAGCAGAAGAAAGCAGAAAGAACACATTTTTGCTGAATTAAGTATGATTTAAGAGAAATGAGCACAAAAATTAGGAGATTAGCTTAAAAAAAGCTGAAATTAGCAAAAAATTGCTGAAAAATAGCTGAAAAGCAGAAAGAAGCTTAAACTACCAGGGGAAGCGGAAAGAGCAGAAATGAGTTTAAAGATGAGGAATTAGATGAAAAAGGCTAAAATTTGTATAAAACAGCTAAATAGTAGCTGAAATAGCAGAAAAAGCTTAAACTAGCAGGGCAAAAAAGCTGAAAGGAGCATAACAAGCTGAAATGACCATAAATAAGTTAATTAGGTTGAAAGTACCAAAAATTACAATGAAAATTTTGAGCTTATCTGAAAAAAGCTGAAATTAGCTAAAAATGTTTAAAAGGTAGCTGAAAAGGTAGAATTAGCTTAAATTGCCAGAAGAAAACATAAAGAACACATGTTTGCCCAAATAGGCTGAAAGAAGCATAAATGAGCAAAAAAAAGTGGAAATTATCTGAAAAAAGCTGAAATTAACAACAAGAAAACAGCTGAAAAGCAGCAAAAAAGAAAAAAAAAGGCAGAATGAAGCTTAAATTACTAGAAGGACGTGGAGAAAGCACTTTTTTGCTGAATTAGGCTGAAAAAAGTTTAAATGAGTGCATAAAATGTGGAAATAGCTGAAAAGGCTAAAATTAGCATAAAACAGCTGAACTAGCAGAAAAAGATGAAACTGTCAGGAAGGAGTTGAAAGGAGCATAACACGCTGAAATTAGCAGAAAGAAGTCAGAAGAAGCACAAAAAATTTGTGGTTTACAGAAAGAATCAGAAAGAAGCACAAAACAACTGAAAAACAGCTGAAAGTAGCTGAAAAAAATGTTTAAATTTGCAGAAGGAAGCTGAAAGAAGCTGGAGCAGAGCAAAATGTGAAAGGAGCAGTAAAAGGTTGTAAACAGATCTAAAGATTTGAAAGATGGAAAATGAGCTCATTTCAGTTTATATGAGGGGAAAAATAGAATGCTCCATAAACATTCACACAATTATTAAAAAAAAAGGTCACTTTGTACCTTCATGATTTTTGTCTTTAGTTTTATTTGCATTTGTGCAAAAGCCTTATATCATCAGGAATTTTTAAAAACTACATTTGTGCGTTTAATTATAACTCTGAACAATGATGGTAACATTGACAATGGCTACATATGTTGAGAGTTTGTAGTAAAATAAATTATATTTTCATGTGTTTTCTGCTCTTACTAATGTTTTTATTGTTGTCACCATCCCATCCAGCGCCAGAACGTACTATTCAGGACAGTTCAACGAGAGCCGCTTCTACGTTCTGCATCAAGACTTTATGCGATACGTACGAAACAGGTCAGCCTGGGATCACAACCCTACCCAAATCTTTTATAATTTAACTCTTACACATAAATTATTTACTTCAATACTATTTAGACACTAGTTTCTACTAAAATCATAAGTTGGTATAGTTGCACTTTTTGTTTCAGTAGAATTGCATTAGTCATACCAAGAACTTAAAGCAGAAAATGAATGCTCAATTTAAAACCTAAAAAGGTTCCTACCAAAAAAGTATAAAATGTAAACATGGTGACCATATAAAATGTTTAAACTAAGAAATTATATAATTTAAAAACTAAATAAAGTTTGAATTTTATGGCAACGCATGTCAGGAAAATTGGGACAGAGGTAAGTAAAAGTAAGATAAATGGCAACAAGAGAAGTGGGTATGAAAAGAACAGTTTAGAGAGGCTGAATCTGTCAGAAGTAAAAATGGGCAGGGGTTCACAGTCTGTCCAAAACTGCAGCTTAATATATTTTAGTCAGAGTAAATTGAAAAGTAAGAAGACTTTGGCTATGCAGTTTATAATATCAAAAGATTTCAAGGAGCGGACAATTCAGTAACTTGTTACTTTGAAAAGCATTGGAAACAAACCAAAACGTAAACCATCAAAGATTCATTTTTTTTAATAACTCAAGTTTAAAAGCATTTTTGAAATAAGAATTTCAAGGAATTACGAATTTCCCAATCACAGTAGTCAAACAATTGTAAATATAGGAGCTCCAGGTACAAAAAAAACCTTCAGACGTTGCTTTATGCAATTATTTCAGAGTTGCTTAAAATCATCAAAGAAGTCTGACACTGCTGCGCCACATTTTTCATTTTTTGTGAAACGAGAGCATTTCTGCTGCAGTTTGGTTGTCCATCTACACAACAACGGCCCTCATTCTCTCTGAAATTGACGGTTTACGAATCCTGGATTCACAAGATTTTCAGGGAACCTGGGATGTGTGAAATACTCAGCAAATGTGAAATTGCACGACAAGCTGCTGCAGTTAAAAGGTTTCTTTGTTTGCACAGCGAAAGTTACAATAAAAGGCAGAGAGTTGTTTGCGCTACACGCCCTTTTTCAGCATTTAGGAACATCCATCCATCTTTCACCTGCTTCTTCCTTTTCGGGTCATGGGGCTCATGACTTAACCGTGGTCATGCAGACACTGCATGCACGAAAAGTATGTTCTTAAGTTTTGAGTTCAGATAACCTCAAAATACAAGGAATGTGGTCTATGTATGTGAAACATACCTAACGTGATAAATCGGTTTGAACTCTGTCACTTGCACAGTGGTGCAACTGGTAGAGCAGCTGCCTCTCAGCGAGCAGGTCGCCCTGGTTCAAATCCCGGTCTCGGGCCTTTCTGGGTGGAGTTTGCATGTTCTCTCTGTGCATGTGTTAGTTTTCTCCGGGTGCTCCAGTTTCCTCCCACAGACCAAAAGCATGCATGTTAGACTGATTGGTAACTCTAAATTGTCCCTAGGTGTGAGTGAGAGAGTGAATGGTTGTTTGTCTCATTTGTCTCTATGTGTCCCTGTGATGGACTGGATACATGTCCAGGGTGTACCCCGCCTCTCGCTAGAGCTGTCATTGCTAACCTGAACCTGGAGCCCGGGTAATGTGCTTAATGTGCGGGCCGTGTCGGTGTCTAGCTTTTGATTGCATCATCGGACGTACGCGGCTGACGATCCAACTATATGACAACATGGCTTGCCGTACAATCACCAGCCGTACATGGCCATTTGATCACGTGCTAACCGGCCTTGAAAGAGGTTAAAAAAAAAGTTCAGTTAAGCTTCAGATGGGACTTTACTGCCAGGCAGTGATCCATCAAAGCCCAAATGGACATTCCTTTAGCCACTGAACTCAGCGGACGCGCACGGCCGACGACCCAAGCAGGTGAGATCCCAAAATATCCAACATGTCAGAGCAGGGTCCGTGTTTGAATAATGCAGAATACAGGCAGAAACAGGGATTTAATGCGTTGGGTTGGATTTTTTTGGCCCGAATGCAACTCTAGCTCTCGCACAGTGACCGCTGGACATGGGCACCAGTGACCCCAGCAACCCAAAAAGGAAGAAGCGGATAAAGATAATGGATGGATGGACTCTGTCACCAGATTTTTATCATTCAAAAAAAAAAAAAGCTCAAACCTGTTTAACCAGCCGAACTTTGACTGAAAATTAAGCATTTTTTAAAAATCTCTGTTTTCCTCATTCAAACATTAAATAAGACATTTGTAAAGAAACTTTGAAATCTGATCATTAAAATTAAATATCCATTACATAATCTATATCCAACTAAATGTGTTCATGTGGCATTTCTTTAATTAAACTGTATAAAATTCAAAGTCACTTTTTGGTATTTGTCTTATTTGACATGTTTCCATTGTTTATAGGTTTCTAAAATCAAACAACCTGAATAAAAGATATTGGGCAATGGTCCGACCGACCAACGGGGCGTTTGCTCTCTTCTTAGCTCTGCATGTTTGCGACACAGTAAGTTTGTTTTCATCTTGTTTTATCATTTTATATTGTCATATTGTGTTTACATTTGCATTTGTGAAGCAGTAAAGTCATTTCAAGTGTGTGCTGTGTGGTGAGGAGCACTCTTTGACGGGGTGGGTTAAGCACGGGATGAAAAGGTTTTTACCAGAAGCAGGGCTTAATTTGAGCTGGATCCTGCCAGAACAGGATGCGGGAACTGTCTTAGTTCGACAGGGTGCATTCCAGAAACCGTTTGCTTGGATCTGGTAACTCAAATCTCCACCCCTAAAAGTCCAAAGTAATCGCGCATTTTCATTAAAAAAAAACCTCAAAAAATATAATTAAACAGCAGAATAAAATTGCAAATCAGCTTTATAGTTCAAGTGTGTCATTATGTAAAATGTTGATTAAAATAGGAGAAAAATATTTTTCGGTAATCACGTGATGTGCGTGCATGACGTAAAACAACTGCGCCATTTTTTCAAACTAGCTGCGATCAAAATGTCAAAACGACAGTCACCGTCCAATTTATTCTCTTTTTTTTACAAAACGGGCTTCTCATTGTCCAACTAAACAATCCAGAATTGAAGCACATGACGATAGTGGCAATGGAGATGCTGGACCAGGAGCGAGTGTTGTGGCCGGTGAGTGCCGAGCTGCTCAGAGACGGATTGTAATAAAATTATGACCCGGTTCTGACCAGTTTAAACAGGGCCAGCAACTCTAAAAAAAAGGGTCTCCCAAGGATTCAATACCCATCAGGGAATAGATTTTTATTTATTTGTCATTTCTTTATTGGCTTGCCACGCCACGTAGAAAGGCTTTTTCTGCACCGTATCATTTTTCCTGATACGTCAGACCACATAAGATCCACTGAGATCACACTTAGTCCGAACCTCCTATCCACATTGATCCGCCTTCATCCGGGCTGTGTTCCCAGATGAAGGCGGAGCCTAGGCCCAATATATTTGTAAAGCAATGTGTCATTCGCCCCTTCCGGCAAGTAGGTATCTCTGCAGACAAAAACGGAAGGTGTATCTGGAGGGCCACATCTGACTGGACGATAGAAAAATGGGCGTATCTGGAGGGCCACATCTGATTGGACGAAGAAGAAAAAAAGGCTGGACGAAAAAACAAGGCGTTTGCGTTAACCACAGGCATATTATGTCTAAAGACAAGGCGTTATTGGCAGATTGTATTAACCACAGACATATTAAGTCTATGGTGTTAACCGGTTCTACAATGGCAGCGTCTCTGTTTCGACATTAGCGGCGTCTCCATAACTTCTCTTTCCGCCTCTCTTAACACAGAACTTCCTGTTACATTTCAAAATAAGAGCAACATAAATGGGTAGTGGGGAGGGCTAAATGTTTTAGTTTTTTTTTAATACCTAGTCATTACATTAAAAAACAAAATCCGTTTTGGTTGTTGAATAATGTGAAAATACTTACAATCGGATTATAAAGAAAGAAAGGTAAAGTAACCAAAATAATAATTAAACTGGCTTTGGGACAAAGGATGTCACATTTAACTTCACATTTTCTTGTTCAACCTTTTAAAGCAATCACTGCAGATGAGTGATTGTTAGTTTCTGTCAGATTTCTGCAACTGGAGCAGGTATTTCTGTTTACTGGTTAACTTCCTCAGCTGCCTCACAGTTTAAGGGTCAATCCTACTCCATATTTCAGCTCAGAGACCAGACTTTTTGACAAATGGGAGCAGGTTTTGCGTCAGATGCTTCATATTTCATTGTACCCAGACCACACTCAAGCCAACCAGCTAGCCAGTCAGTGTTTGCTGTCTAGAAACGCCCACTTTTGGTCTGCAGAGAACCCCTTCTCCCTTCCCATCCAAGATCTGGTGTCAAATTGTTTTGGAGAGGCCAGCATTCTCCTGCCTTGATTTAATACAATTGGTAGACTTAATCCACATTTCCTTGATTTATTGAGATAGTGTGAGTTACTTACTTCTGAGGGAGTTCGAGCCGGGAGCCACATGAGCTGGAGGTGGGCCTGGGGTCCGAGATGAGGCCCCCACAGCTAAAAATAGCTAGCTGCAGCAGCTCTGGACGTCTGCAACACTTGTATATGAGTCCTTGTGGCTCAATGAGAATAGCCTGTGTAAATAAAGGTTGAATGGAAAAAAAAGTCACAAATAACATTTTTTTACATATATGATTTTTTTAATGACCGTATGAATGTGACATCCAATTTTTATAATCCAAAGGATAAAATAGTTTATAATTGCTGCTTTATTTATATGAGAAGAACCCTAGACCTCATGCTAAGTGTGTATCTCTGATTTAGCTCTGGAAATTTTACAACATAGTCAAAAATACAATTATTCTTAGACTCCTTTTTTTGCCATTTAGAAAAATAAATCACTTGTAAAATATATGTACTGTAGTCTTCTTCATGTGTTCTCTGTTTCTGCCATCTTCAGGTGAGTGCATATGGATTCATAACGGAAGACCACAAGAAATTCTCCAACTACTACTTTGAAAGGTACACCAAAACCCATATAATTTTTTTCAGCAACCACGACTACATTATGGAAAAGAATCTGTGGAAGACATTCCACGATAAAAAAATACTGAAGCTTTTTCAAAGAACTAAATCAGAAGAAAGGACGGAAAAGCCAACGCAACCTTGACACACGGCGAAATCTTTAAGAACTCCTAAAAGACAGTTTTCTGAGATAAGAAAAAAATACAACCTTGGTTAATGAACTTGAAGAATGATTTTGATGTGTGCACTTCCACTTCAAAGATTGTATTTTATGTCAAAATGAATGTTGAAGCTAAACATAAAAATATTTGACCTGAAGGCCATTGAAAAACATAATATAAAGTCAAGCGCACAACAGAAAACTACAGCCCAACAATCTGCAGAAGCTGCCAAAAGAAAGAACTTATGGTAGCAATACATAACACTTACCATGCGATTACCTGATACATATATTTACTTAATACTTATTGGGTTGTGATTCGGATTAATCTATTGTACTTACCTGACACATACCTTACTTACTAGAAATGTACTTAGCACTTGCCAGGTAAGTTATCTGGCAGTTATCTGACACATATCTGAGTATTTACTTGGTACTTATTAGGCCTGTACATAGTACTTATGCTGCATGTACTTGGTACTTACCGAACCCTTTAGGAGTCGATGCCTGGTATTTATTGGGTACATACCTAGGTATTTACTTTGTACTTGCTGGGTTAGTACCTGGTACATACTCAGTAATTATGGGATACAAACCTTGGACTACCCAAGTACATACTCATGTTTGCACTTGCTGGTAACATACTTGGAACACATCTGGGTGTGTAACAGATATACTTCACAGGAACATAACTGGTACTTACTGCGTAAGTATCTGGTGCATATGTGGTATGTAATGGGCTGTAAAATATATTGATACCAAATTTCTTTTTATTATATTTTTAATTGGGGGCTGTTAATTTGTTGGGGGGTGTCACCCATCACAGAGCGAAAAGGGGAAATTAGAAATGCCTTTTATCCGTCCGTTTGTCTGTGAATATTGTGAGCATGATAACTTATATAACATATGTAAATATATATATATATTATATATATATATAT